ACAAATAAATCTTAAAAAAAAAAAAAAAAAAAAAAGAATTTAGAGCAACAATGCCATCCCTATTTTTAAAAAATCACTGATGAACTTAAACCTGATTTTATACAACTGACCATTATGATATAAAATATTTAGGTCATTTTCTATACATTTTTTAATAACCAGATATTTGGAAATATACATCCAAAACTTTCAGATGATGGGCTGAAAATTGAAGTATTTGTCATGCTATTTGACGTGGTTTTAGCACAGCTTATGCTGAGGAGTATACTTTCGAAAAGCCTTCACTCATATTCCTACAAAGTATGTAGTCTAGTGGCAATTTTTTGAAGTGGAAAAAAATACTTTGAAGAAAAGTCATGTCATTCAATTAAGATATATATTCATTATTGAATATTTTTATTCAGATTGTATCACTGCATATACTTCAAAGGGATTCATGGATGACTAGCTATTAAAATATTGCATTATGAATTCCAGAGGAGGAATAAAATCCAAGTTTATGACCCCAGAACTGTTGCTTAACCCTGCTCATATTAACAATCTGAAGACCTTGCTTCACCAACCTCTCCCTCACACATTCACTTCTCCATTCTAACTGAGAGGAGACCCTCCTCTGTACTGTTTTCTGGCTAGAAATAGGTACCACAGTCTATCACCTCAGTGAAAAATGCATCAGACTGGTTTTGGTCAGGGTGCAATCTTCTAGTACCTTTGTTTCCTCATTGATAAAGCAATGATATATTTGGTTCAAAGGATTATGTAAGAGTTAAATAGGATAATGAACATAACATGCCGAACAATGTGCCTGATATATACTAAAGAAATTATCTGCTTAAATTGGTACATGCAATTTGATAGAGTCAAATGCTATCATTATTGCAAGTAGTTATAAGTTCAGTCCTCCTCTGTGTGGTCCCACTAGATATTTTTGTTTACTGAATTTATCCCCCAATACCTACTGATGTGAGGTTGTTCTATTCAACCTCTGTATCATGCAAAACATGTTATTTTGTGCTACAGATTTTTGCACTTAATTATTTATCAGAGTTTATGTCAACATGAGTTTGCTTTGCCAACTAGGTTGCACTTTGGAAATTTTTACTTTACTATATTATCCCTTCTTCTAAACAATTGTCACTCTTTTATTTGATTCATCCAACTCACAAATATTTTTATTGTATATCACATATAAAGCCACATGTATGTGTGTATATATATGTGTGTGTGTGTGTGTGTATACACACACACACAATAATACACACATACACACACATAATATATATTCCAAAAGTGACCATATGGACAAATCCCTGAATCTTACTTCTGGCAGGCATGGACAGAAAATACAGTCAAATAGACAGATAATATATCTAATCAGAGTGTTAGGAAGAGTGATTTCGTTTTTAACAATTTAACATATAAGGTAATTCAGTGATGACCTATGGAAAGATAGGGATTAAGTTTTATAGAAGCCTGGTGAAAGAAAGTTCCAGGTTAAAAAAAAAAAAGGCAGAAACAAATTTCTGTACAAGAGTATGTAAGTTCTTGAAAGCATAGCTAGAGGGCCACAGCCCAGAGCAGAGTAAATTGGGAAGGAGAAGTAGGTGACAAGGACAGAAAAGCAGCAAGGGACCAGACTGCATAGGAACACTGATCTCTGTTGGGATTAGTTTCTTTTCCTCCTGAGTGAAATTTGAAGGCATGAAGTTTTGGGTGATCTGATGTAAACTCTAAAATGTTCATTCTAGATTTTGGGGACGATGAACCTAGTTACAGGGGTCAAAGATAGAAACCAGAGTCTCATACAATCTCAGCAATCTAATTACATCAAATTACTGTATTTTGCTTCCTACTCTGCATGATGGCTACTCATGAATAAATCGTATCATCCTTGCTAAATCATACATTCTGTATGGCCCATGATTCCAAAATATTAATATTTTAGATAGAAAGAGATTGAGGTACCCAGAATACAAAAAAACAAATTTTCATCACTGCTTCCCATTCTTCTTCTGCACACCCTCCACCAACTGTGCCATCACCTCAAAAGTTTCCGTCCTTCTGGAAATCTTTGTTAATACAGCGTACATATTAGGTCTATCACTTGGTGGTGTAAAGGAAATAGAGAGTGAATGTAGAGAACAAAGAAGACACAGTCCTAATTCTCAAGTAATCATATATAATCATCTCTTTTATCTAATCATATTATAATTACATTAAAATGGCATATACTGTAAGTATATCAATATCTTATTATTTTATAACATATATAGTCATACCTAAGTGTTACTATTTCTAGTTTATAAAAGTCTATAAATGGTAATTTACAGTACTCAAATGAGATGAGTTGTTTTCTGAGTCCTATTTAAGGATCTTTCTAATGTGTATCTTAAAAGTTTTGGGTTAGGAAGAAAGTAATCATGAAATATAGTTATCCAAGAAAAGGAGACATAAAGATCTCCTATTCTAATTTTCCATAATGAAGAAGTTAAAATTCCATTTAACTATGATGACACCTGACATTCCAGGACAGAAGTAGAGTATCTATATAAGGTATAGGAGTTATAGCCATTTTCAATCTATAAAAGCTCTTAGTACCAAAGGCTAGTTACTCTCTGGTCTTTTTGAAATACCCACAATAAAGATAAACCTTCTACTGCCTCTAGAAAAAGGGAAATGCCAGACAGAGTGTTCTAAATTGGACTTTCATGGTAAAAATGTCCATTAATAATTAATTTTATGCTTCCTTTAGAATAGGATAGGTTAAACAGTTGGTCACATTCAGTAAATAAGAAATTACTTGCAGTAATTTCTGCAACGTTCTAATCATCATCCCATTTCAGAAACCTATTTTGAAAGTCTTTGATATGCATTATAGTGGAAAGGACACTGAATGTAGAAATATAAGATGATTATAAATTCAGTTTGCCACTCAATAATAGTGTAACTGGGCAAGTCATTTAACTTAAACATTCAGTTTATATTCTAGTGATGAATTGGGCAATAACAATACATACACCACAGGGCTGTTGTGAGCATCAAATATAGTAGTATGTGAAGACATGAAGACAGAAGTCACATAATCACTTGATCAATGAAGATATTAAATATACACATTGAAATTATCATAACCCTAGTAGTGGCATTTCAGTATTCCACCTTATGAACCCTAAAAATAGGGTTTTGTGAAATAGGAAGCATGTCCCCCATTTTCTCTCTGTATTTTAAGAATGTTAATATACTATAATTGTTTAACTATGTCATTAAAGTGAGTTTTATTTTCGTTATTAAATATTCAAGGGAAAGCTTTTCAATTAATAATGACCTTTATGACTTGTTCACTCAGATTCTCTGGGTGGTGTTGTTAACTGCAAATTAGATTCTGCAAGGTACCTTGTTCCTTATTTTTTCTCCCACTGATTGGTTTCATAGAGTTGGCAGTGACCTACCCTGTTGCATTCAACTTGCAATTTTATAGCAATCTCAAACACTGAGCACAATCCCCCAAGGTACTCTGTAGAAATGCTGTCAAACTATTTCTGTGTATGTGTATTTTCAGTCTGTAGCTGTGTTGTGTACTCATTTAAAAGAACTAGTCTTTAATTTGTATCAGAACACTTTCAAGATGAAACAGAAGTCCAGGCATCAGCAAAATCACCGACACATGACTATAGCTTTCTTACTGTTCTAAATACTGACTCAGCTGACTTCTTTTGCATGCAAAGCTACATTTTTAAAATCTTGTTATAGAATAAAACCTTTGAATGATTGGGCTTTAAATTTTACCTTAAAACTATTAATTATCATTATGCTTGTGTCAATTTCATCTCTCATCCCTCTTAGCCCTTAGTCCTTTATGACAATTTCCTTGAAAATTTTGTCCGTGCCTTTACCCCTATTCTCTCACCTTTCCCTGATATTTCTGATTGTTTAAGTAGAATGATCTGTCTTCTACCCTTACCTCTCCAGCATTTCCTACTCCAGAAAGTCTGTCTCTATACCTCCAATATTTTTTGCAGGTCAATTAACCCTCTTTTGTTTTTCATGTACCTTGTTGCCTATTTAAACAAAATTCTATATAGGATTAATTGGTTTAATCATCTTCTTTACTATATACAATATTATTTTTTAGAAATCCAAGTCCCAATACCTTAAATAGCAGCTATTACATAAATGTTTGCTGTATAAATGAATGCTTACTAGGAAATTATTGCCAAATTAATAGAAATGACAGCAAGAGCACCCTCCCTGGTGGTGCAGCAGGTTAAAACACAGCTAAACTAAGAAGCTAAAGCCACTTCAGGATGAGTTCGATCCCCACCTGCCCCGGAGGTCACATGGTGCAGCAGATCTCTCCTAACATGCCCACTGCTCCCCTCAGCAAAATGACAGCAAGAATTTGCTACTAAAAGTATTTTATTAGCACTACTACCTACATTTAATTACAACAATAATAGAATATTATCAGAAAAATTCAGTATAGTTTTTATATACAGCCTACTCCCTTGCGAAACCAGGTAATTTTAAATAAACATATTTAGTATTATTCTATACTTTCTGCATCTGGTACATTATATTAATAATTAAATTTAGTTAGACTAGCTAACTAAATTTATATATTTCAAAGGAAAATATATTATATATATTATATATTAATATTGACAGTTATTTGAGCAAATTTAACCAAATTTAAATTTGTCCACAGTCAGAAAGAAAAAGGATTTAAACTGTTTTTTTTTTAATTAGATCTCTTTCTCTCTCTCTCTTTCTCTCTCATAAATAAATGAAACAAAGCAAAATTGCATGCAGGTATTTTTTTTCACATTTGCATTTGGAATGGAAGATGTACCAGTGTGTTCATGTATCCTGCATTTATATACAATGTTTGCATTTGATATAGTGCTATAATTCAGCATATAGAAAAACACTCAGAAAGAAAATAATGTTGTCTCTTATTTTCATTTTGGTTAACAGTGTTCTCTCTCTCTGATAATTTGTAGGTGTTATTTGGAAGATGGAGCTTCAAAGGGTGCCTGGCTGAACCGGTCAAGTATTATTTTTGCGGGAGGTGATAAGTGGTCAGTGGATCCTCGAGTTTCAATTTCAACATTGAATAAAAGGGACTACAGCCTTCAGATACAGAATGTGGATGTGACAGATGATGGCCCATACACGTGTTCTGTTCAAACTCAACATACACCAAGGACAATGCAGGTGCATCTAACTGTGCAAGGTATGCATTTCCATAATTTATATTGTTCTTAGAAGTGACTCTACTGATAATGTTGAAAGGTATGTGTCATTGTCATTATGGATCTGTTTTCTTAGATTTCATTAAGTGCAATGGCCATATAGGTAAACAGTTCCCAGGTACCAAGATCGAAAATTGTTCTTTAACACCACTTTGCGTTTGTATATTCTCTTCATATTTTCAATAAATATTTGAGAACCTATGGCTAACAAATAAAAATATTTAATAATATTTGATGGATACATTAAACTATTAGAAATTGTAAAAATATGAATAGAAATCATCTAGCCTCCCAACACTTTCTGAACCCAACTTCTATTTGCTTTGATTCAAGTAACAATGAAAAGAAACACCTTCCTTTAATCATTTTAAATACAGAGTAATTGCAAAATATGGTAGTTTTTTGTACTTTAATTTACTTTCAGGAGATCATAAATCTTGCTAGCTAACTTATAACTTCCAAATGCAAAAACAATTATCAAATCATTTTATTTTTCTTACATACTAAAATGTAAGAGCATGTTTATCCCCAATACAAATACTTTTAAGGAAAAATTCATTTATAATGCCAGTAGAATGGAAAAAGTGTGCTTTCTCTTTTATATTATTTCCTCATGCTTTATAGATTAATCATGAGTTAGTTGCATAGAAATATTATGCTGTGAAACTCAAAATAACATTGCAACATTTCTAAGTAAAATTAATGACAAATTACTTGATAGTGTGGTGCCAGTGATTACATGCTTTATTCTTAACAGAAAAAGTTGATTAAGTTGGCCATATGATCTCTGAGTTTACACCCTTCAAAAAAGCCAATGCTAATTATTGATTTAGGTACATGACATGCAAATGGAAAATATTGTTGAGCTGCAAACATATTAATGAACTTTATTTCATTATATAAATGGAAACCCACATTCAACATAACTTCATGTTTAAAGGAATTTCTTAACTTTGTGATAAGGATTAAATTTACTAATTATTTTAAGGATGTAATTATTAATTAAAGTAAGTGAATTTCCTCAACATTTTTTTCTTATTGTAGACCTTTGCACACTGTGGTGATGTGTCTTATTTAAAAGCATATTAGAATATAGTAAAGTATTCATCAAAGAACATCTTTATTCAGAAATAATCCAGAGTTTCTAGAGGGCAGAACTTTGTCCCAATTCAAAAACTAACATGAGATAACAAGTCAAAAATACATTTCTTCTGTTATCCAGGTTTTATTCAGTGTACTTTGACTTGAGTTTCGAGCTCAATGACTAACAAAAGATTTTACTTCATGAGGAAAAGTACATGTGAACAATAATATATTTGAGCCTCTTAAAGCATAGATATTTTGCTTCCTGTAGGTTTGAGTGATATAATTTGAACACTAAATATATTCCTCTTTTCTTTTTCTCTTCTCTATTATTCCATGTTAGGTGCATAGTTCCATATTAGGTATAGACTATGGCTGTGGAAGCTGTGCCATCATGTATTTACTTTTTATAGGATTTCTTTATAACTGAATGGTTCATAGATTGTTTTATACTACACAATATTTTAAAACTATCATCTACCTTTCTATGATACTCTCTTTGCTGGCCCCTTATGATGGGTAACTTTTAGTGGCATTTTATGAAGTGCATTTTAGGAATGCACTTATTGAATGTTTTATCAGTATCACAGTTTATTCTGCCAGAAAAAAAATAAAATTTATCTTACTGTTTTGAAAGTATGTTGTTGATTCACATTAAAATCTATTAATTTTACAGTATGTCTGAACATAATTACTTATTAGAAGTTGATTGACATGTAGGCAGTTTTCCAATTACATTAATAAATTTCAGGGAATATATTAATAGGCTTGTCAGTCAGTTCAAGAACTAAATATGGGGATAGGATAGGGAAGGAAAAATGCTAAATAAATGTCATAGAAAGTCATCCTACTTACGCTCCATTAGCTCTCAATGAACAAAAATAAACCAATGTGCACAAATTTTCAGTCTCTATATTTGATAGGGTGTCTGATGTTCAGGTATATCTCCACAGATTTTGAAGTTCTTTCTTTAACAATTTGTCAAACCTTTATTCACCAAGATAAAGAAACTTAGCAACTGAGAGAAGACTGTATTAATCACTGATGTCAAACATATACTGACTGGTGAAAACAAAGCTCATCTTTAATTGTTTTAACTATGTACTCAAGAGAGCTATTAAAAAAAATCATTTCAAAAAGGGGATAATAAAAGTGATATCTTGCCAACACAGACATCGTGCATAAGAAATTTGTTGGTGCTATTGATTTCCCAATACTGTTAATTTCAATGACTGGAGCAATAGGAAAGAAAAAAAAATGTTAGAATAGGAGTTGGAAAGCCTGGGTTCTAATCCTGAAATGTCCTACATGAAATGTGCAATTATCAAGTCTCTCTAAACTCCAGTTTTCTTATGTGAAAGAGCAGGACTCAGAC